CTTATCCAGACTAAACTGCAATTCCGACCTCGCCTAAGTCTCATTACAACCCTCAGCATGGCTCGAACCTGGGTAGTGTAGTTTATAATATCGACACGTTGATTACTGCGCCATATTGCTATGAGTACCATTGGGTCACAGGGTGGAAGTGAATTTCTATGAAGCCTCGGCCTTTCAATATCACATTTTTGTGGCAGGAATTTCAATGAAGCAAGTTATGTCTGCTATAGAAATCGGCAAGTTTACTAAGTTCCGGTGTTGGTTCGACCTTGTTTTCGCAACTTGGTCTGAGCGTCAGGAAGAATTTGTAGAGCATACGTAGTCCCGTGTCCTTTGCCAGAATATTCGTGATTTCGAGCAATGGACCATTGGCTGGGTACATTCCCAAACTTTTCGTCGGTATCGTGGTCGGCATCGCCAGTGAGAGGCTCCATCGTAAGCACAGAGTTATCAATTTACAAGAAGATCACACCATCTTGTCATTCATATATATTACTAATTTTAAGCTTATAAGTAAACAAAATAGAGTGAATACATGTAGTCTCAAAAACCTACCTATAAAACGAAAAATAAATGTAGCCTGTTACTATGAAAAAATGCAACCTTGCTTCTACAGCAATCCCACCAGTGAAATCTGATATGAAAAAGGCCTGGCCTTCCTTGAAATTCACTTCTTTTCTGCTATCCAAAGACACTAGCTGCGGTGGGGCATATTGGTCAACGTATCTAGATTATAAGCTACACTACCCAACCAGGGTTCGAGTTTCGTAGAAAATGCCGATAAGACCTAGACGAGATCGAAACTGCAGTTCATCTTATATGAGAATATCTTTGAGGAAACAGGGCTATGTGTAATTTAATTAAAACATAAGACCTACTCATATGATTATTAGAAAATTCTACGACCAGTCATTCATCACCTTAGACTTTGTAAAGTGAATACAGTTCTAATATCAACTACACGGGTATTCTCGAAGACCTACTTCTGAACCGAAGAACGTTACTAGTATTGGATTTCTAACTGATCCGTTTCTCTTGATTATTAGCCTTAGTAACCCTAGGTCGACTAACGTGATGAAGGACTGATTGTAATTTTTTCACAATTTGATGAGTGAGTTTGGCGTAGTGATAGCATGCCGAGATTATACACTACACAAATCGATTTTGAATCGCTCTGGTGATGCTGATGAGTCATAGAAGAGGTGGAGTAAACAACACATCCTGGATGACACTAACTTTTGTGAGGTAAGGCTGGGTACAATCAAATTGCATCATGACGCCCACACACCTCATAGGGCGAAAGTGACTAATTGTTGAGATTACTTCTATTTCGAGTGGAAGTGTTGGGTGAAGAGATTCGAAGGTCGGTTTCACCAGAAGACGACGGCGGATTCCTCTTTACCAGCTGTAGATTGGCTTTACTGGAAGATTCATGCTGACGCTGTTTCCGAGGCGATCTCTTTCTATTCAGGTGAAAACGTGCTAAGCTTTCGTCCGTCATATGAAAACTCGTTAGCTTGAATTTTTTGTGACGATGTTACCTCGTTCTGATGATGTCCGTCATATGACGGATGAAAGCTTTGCATGTTTTCACCAAAATCGAAGGAGATTGCCTCGGAAACAGCGTCAGAATGAATCTTCCAGTAAAGCCAATCGACAGCTGGTCACGAGGAATCCGCCGTCGTCTTTTGGTGGAATCGACCTTCAAATCTCTTCACCCAACACTTCCACTTGAAATGGAAGTAAGCTCAACAATTATGAAACAAGAGATACCTCGAAACCAAACTTTTCTTCGTATATAGAAAGTGACTAAGCCTCTTAGTCAAGATCTATTGCTAGTTTAGACATCCTAATTATTTCAAATTCAAGTACGGCGTGATGTTGCTATGTCTAGAGTCGAATTACGGTTCTGACAAGGTTTTGCTGCTGCTGGTCAGCACATACAGTCTCGTCATTATGGACCCAGATCTAGTGAATCTGTCGTTGAAGAGGTTAACTCGGGTTTAGTCGCTAGATAAATGCGACATTTCTGTTCTCTAAAGCTCAACTGAATTCGTCACAAAGTTGACTCGCGATGTAAAGAAGCGTCATACATAGAAATGGCACAAGAAAAATCGTTGCATAGGGCGATATGTTTAACGGTTGACAGCCCAAGAAAGGACTGGTTGAGCGATCTGGTTCGGTAAATATTTGCTGTATTTTAACGATGGCGGAAATCTGAGGGTTGAGACATTCATCGGGCAATGTGTTGGGGCAAGATGATGCGACAGACGAGGAGAATTGTGATGATGCTGTGGAGCTCAATCGGCGGTGGCCAGCAAACGTCATTGACCGGAGAGAGGCGGTCCCGTGGGTCAATTGATTCAGATAGAAATTTTTCCTGTTTACTACCTTGGGGGTGCTTCTAATTTATGGTGGAGGGCTAACCCGGGTTTGGGTGAGGAGATGAATTATGGTAAACATAATGGTCGGCCAAATGGTAGGCTGAGTTACGGCTGGCTAGGATGTGGTTGGTCGTCAGTCGGAGTGCCTGAATTAGGTTGAGAGGTATTTAAGATTAGTGTATTGTGAAAGAGTTGGCATGGGTCCAGTATCTTAACATTATTTGATGAATATTTGGTAACTGCCAATTCGTCTAGCGGTCAATTTAATCGAGATTTATGCATAACACAGGCTTGAGTAAAGCGTTTTAAATATGGGATGACTGACCATAAAGGTCGTTTGGTACTGCAAACAGCAGTGACTTGGTGATGAACCCAGTCACATTAAATGAACATAGTGATGAAGCATTTGAGGGCTGACTCGATTAAAGGGATAGATTTACAAGTTATTTTATTGTAGGTCTCATCATCATTAAACAATATTTTATCAATCTTTTACTGCGCCAGTAGCCTACGATAAGGACATATTGGCCTGGTCTAAAAAAATTAGTTTGTTATACTCATTTCGTTTCCTCTTTTACCTGACTTGATGTACTTTGTGTTGATAAATTAAAAAAAATACATGTTCGCCAATAAATTCTAGAGATTGGGTTGGTCAACAGCTTTGAGCTTTCATTCCCTTACCCAATCTCCGTTCGGGCTAAAATTTAAACGTATTTGAAATCACTCCTAAATAAGAGGGAAACGAGATACAACAAAATTTATGAGCACAACCCTCAACATCTTTAATATTTCAGTTACCAATGTTTCGTAATACTTAATATTAAGAAGTACATTCGAAATACAAAATAAATGTTAAATTTATGCTCTTCCTGTTTTGTCTATTTACAAAGGCCAAATAATTGGACAGAGTTTATCCTTAAGTTACTACGGAGTTATACGCAATTTAAGGGTTTATGACTCCTAGTGTTAATTGGTTGAAATACTCTCGTGATCAAGATCAAACCATAACATTTAAAAACATTTCACCGTATAAAGGTCGATATCAAAGTAAGCGAATTGTGACCAGATCATTTTTTTTATTT